TGAGTCCTTGAGGTCTCAAGTTGCCATGTGTTATGATATTTTTGTCTTCCCATTTTGGTATTTTAGATCTTTTTCCAGAAGTCCAGCTACTCTCCATCAGTAGCAATGTTGATGCTTCAGGGAAAGCTTGTGAAGGTATACTGGGAAGAAGATGGTACTGCTCCCGTGTCCCCACACTGGCCTCTTTGTTCTGAGGACTGTTCTTACAGTGTATGTATAGGTGTGTGTGTGTGTGTGAATGTATATATATATATATATACATATGTTAGCAATCAGGTCTGAGGCTATGCAGGGAGAAGAGTGTATGGCTTCACAGTCTTTTGAAGCCAGCCCAGGACTCCTGGCAGGGAAAACTGTGAGCAATATGGATGGACAATCTACACTGATGGTGTAATATGAAAGTTGTAGTAGAGATCATCATTTATGACTCTCTTGGCTCTCTAGACCAGGCACAGACAAATCTCAGAGTCCAGGGACTGTATGAGGATAGGTGTATGATTCTTTCCACTCTTGAAACCAGTAACCAGGGTGTCCTTCTTTGAGCTGGCAATGCTTTCATCGAGAGTTATGCACTTTTCAGTACAGCTTGGGGCCATAGGAAAGTGGGGACTCATTGGGGTAAAGGTGAATATCTCTGCTAGGCACAGTTCCTGTCTAAAAGTTTCTCAGTCTCTGCTACATCTTCCATAGTCTCTATCTCTTTCTTCTCCCTATAGAGTCACCAGTCCTTACTCCACCAGTTCCACTCTGGATGTGACTGCTTCCTCCAGACCCCAATTCTCCATGTCCCTAAAGGAAGTGATGATTCAAGACTTGTTTGTTCCCCATCTTACCACAGAGGACTGTTTAATGTACTGCTTATGTTATAAAACATTCATAAATTTTTTATGGGAATTTTTAAAAGATGATAAAACATACAAGGTTTATATATGTACTTCCTACACTATATTTTGAACAAGATAAAGATTATTGATACTGACAAAATGTTACCTAATAGAGCCTCAGGGTGGCTGTGATGGCACATTAATTTGTTCCCTTACATCATAGCCTTCAAATTAATGGGCATTTATGAAACAGCATGATTATCTATAGTAAATTTTCTTTATGCATCTTTAATGTCACTGAGAATTCCCCCACTGCTCTGCTCTGCGCTTGCGTATTTTCCCCCATCTGTCACTGCCCACCCTCCCCATAAATTTCACATTTGATGCTAACAAGGTCGCCATGCTTATTCTCTTTATGATGCCATCAGAGCAGCTTTTGGATAATAAAACCCAAACCATTATGGATTGGTTAGTATGGTGACAATACACAGATGTATGAACACATCCACTCCCCCCACCCCCCACACACCTGTTCTACATCAAGATGGAACATATCACAAAATAATCTACTATGAAAACCTATCTATAAAAAATATTTAAATTCATGATTAGACTGTAACTATCTCTTTAACTTTCTAGCATCATATATCTTGAGAACAAATGATTCCTATGATTTTTTTTTTCCAGAATGGGGAAAAATACTCATCCGATCACATCTGATACAGTGAGGAATCTTCAAAATGTAGACTCTGGATTTGTAGCCTCAAACGTCACCAAGGAACATACTATCAGTGCCCCTCCCCAAGGCTACTGAATTAGAAACTTGGGATTGGTCGAAGCCCTCCACCTACTTCAGATGAAACTCAAATATGGGAACACTTGGGAAAAATATTTCTCACACCTGCCTCATTGGAATTTCCTGGTGAATTTAAAAAGGAAAAGCAGGATGCCTAGCTCTAACCTCCTTTATTTATATCAGCATTTCTGAAAGTTAAGGCCAAGGTCTGGGGTTTTTAAAAGCTTTCTAAAAGAGCTCAGCTTAGATCCAGATTTTAATAACCCCAAATACTTCTGAAAAGGAGGGGAAATTAGCAGCAGTCTGATATAGAGCTACCATCACAGGGGAGGAAATAGGCCTGCAAATGGGGAAGATTTCTCAAGGTAACACACTTACTGAATTTCTAAATCTGTACCTTTATCTCTTTTTTCCCTTTTTCCGGGTATGTCCAACCCTGAAATAAGGAATCCAGAGCAGGCTTGAGAGACCTAAAAAGCTAAAATACAGGCAATTTAAAAGTAGTCGAGGTCAGCCCTCCCTGGTGGTGCAGCAGGTGGGAGCACTGCACTGTGAAGCTAAGCCAAGCTGTGGCCTCTTCTGTGTGAGTTTGATCCCCACCCCAGAGGTGATCCACATGGCGCAGCAGACCTCTCCTGACCCTCTAGCTGCTCTCCTCAGCAGTGTACTTTGATTTCTGCCTGTTCAGCTCCCCACTTTGTTTCTGGTGAATCCTCTCACTGCCCCTATATCTCTGGCCTGTACCCCCATTTCTGTATGCATAAATAAATAAAATCTTTTTTTAAAAAAAGTAGTCGAGATCATGGCATTTGTCACTGTAGTCACTGACTTTAGCTTTCAGAGTTTACTTCTACTTTTGTACCAATGTCTGCAGTACTTGCTGCACTTTTCCACTCAACTGAGTTCATTGAGTTTAAGACCAAGTGTAATTTTTGCTTAGTCAGTGAAAAGCAAGAGATGCAATGAGCTAATAGCTTCTGCACCCTGCAATGGGGATGGGGGAGGCAGGACAGCCTGGTGGGGTTAGGGAACACTCAGGCTCTGAAGCTTTTGTCCCATGTTTATTGCCAACTCTGTCACTGACTAATTCTGTCACCTCAGGCTTGTTGCCTCAACTTTTCATTCCTCAGTTTCCCCCTCATATATGGATAATGATAACACAACTACCCCTGAAGGTTTGACTACTAAATGGGTGTGATACATGTAAAGACTGAGGAGTGAGAGCTCTTCTACAGTATATTTCAGGACCAGGTATACTATCTCACTCAGTGTGAAGTATCAATAAAGATAAATAGGCTCTGGACACTTCCATTGACACAGCTCATTCATCAACTGTCTACTATGTACTATGTCCCAAATTTGGTCTGGAGCTTATAGACTTAATCACATTGTCTTTGTAGCAAAGAATGAGTGCTCCAGAGTGTAGAGAAATAAATACTCAGGAAAACAACACAAATTGGGCAACTCCTATAAAAATGTTCTCAGAATGTTTGCATCCAGAATTGCTGTGTGTTGGGGGGGGGGGTGAGGGGAGCAATATACTTAGGAAGGAGATCATTTATTTTTCCCATTGATTATTACCTTTTCCATTTAAGTCCCTTTATTCCTAGTAAGCTATTTTTCCTAATTTAATGGTAATTGGATTTGAAAATGACCTTTTGTGTGAATTCTCATCAATAATTTGTTTTAGCTTTCCATCTATACAATAATAGTACAGAGGTGATGGTTACAGTTCTTTCATTTCTAAATTATAAATCAATGAAAACCACTTATTAGGCAACTGATGCCTTTTACCCAAATTTGTATTCCCTCATCAAAGAACTTGAGGTGAATCAATTCCAATAACTTGGCATCTCTGAAGCATCATTACGTTTGATGCTTTAGGATTTACCATTTACTACATTTTATTAATATTAACTAGGAGAGTATTATTTCCATCTAGAGAGCCTTAAAAACTGAGTAATAGACAAAGCAAACTTTCATGCCTCTTGATGAGACTTTGTCAGCTTATGCTAGTGCTCAGGGATCTATAATTTTTAAGTATTTCCTAGTGCGTCTATTGATCAGCCACGTTTGAGAACCAATGGTCTAAACGGAATTGAAACAGCATGTGTGTGTGTATGTGTGTGTGTGTGTGTGTGTGTGTGTGTGTTGTGTTTATAGATGCCCCAGTGAGACATTAAGTGTCTATCTTCTTACATTTCTTAACTTTTATGTAGTAAGTTCCCGATTTTATTTCCAATCACAGGGTTCTGCTTGTGGTAAAAGTAAAATCATAACATATAACACTTCATGACTTCCCAGACCTCAGTAGTTAACACTCAGTAAGTGATTGGTAATTACTTCATTGCTGACTCCAATAGTCTAGTTTCCAGTGAGCCTCACCTATTAGTGCAGAAATGAGACTTTGGTTTGTAATTCCCTCTGTTGTGTGGATAAATCATAGGTCTTCTCGTTTCACTCTAGGGAGACTTCAAGATGTTTTAGATGACTGATGGTTGATTGCCTTCCAGTACACACATGGGAAAATTGAGAAGTAGATGGTAAATTTCTCAGGATTGTCAAGTTGGTATATGGTGGAGTTGAAGCTTGAATCCCAATAGAAAGAATGAATTTGGTTCCATACATTGTAAGTGCCTGACTCATAAGACCAAAGTTAATGTCTTAATATATCACAGAATTAACAATACCCCTTATTATCTGAATCCCAGTCAGTCTCACAAAATTATTATTCCAATCAACTGTTTTAAAACATTATTTTTCATTTGAAAAGTTCAAAGGTATTATTATTCATGTTTTTGCCTTTCTTCTCCAAGCACACACAATTTTTATTACATAGCCTCTCATTTCTAACTTTAATTTAATATAAATATGGAAACCCTAGCAAATGATGGCAATCTCAAAAAAATTAGTAAAGAAGGCATGAGACAATAATGACTTATGATAATGACTTATCAACCATTCTTCCCATAAATCTTGAAAACAAAACAAGAAAATGACCTTAGTGTATCATTTGAAATGTGCTTTCCTTTTCTGAATAGTGTAAAACTTCAACATGAACCATATAAACATCTCTATATACAAAGAAGTACTATAGCAGTACATGCGACTTTATACATTTTTCATGTTTAAAGAAATATGTAGAGAAAATTTGCTTTGAACCAGCTCTTCAATTCTAACAAGTAACTAATTTGAAAGATTTATTAATCTAATTTGTTAAATGACCAAACTATTTTTTAAATAACATACAATTCTAATTTGTGCTAAACTGGTTGGATAGAAGTTTTATCAGGAGACAGGTAGGAATTAATAATACTACCAAAATAAGTTTAACATAGCATCCCACATGTTGTCAAGTTAGGGCAGCTCAGCATAGAAATTTAAACTGGTCCATCTCCCTAGAAGGTAGAAAAAGTTAATTAATGATGACATCATTCTGGCTTCTTTTCTTTCCTCCCCCTTCTTAGTGCCTCCCCACCATCCATCTTCTTGAGTGGTCCTGTCCTTTACTGGCTACTGAAATGTCTTCTATACTTTCCTTTGTTTTAGAACTTTGATAATCTACTTGCCTGTGTTTATTTTGCATAATTTATTATTAAAAATAATTTTGATAAAAGACAAAAATAGGTCAAATGATGTAGTTAAATGTATAATTAAGCAGCAGAGAATCCAGGATTTGTACCCAGATTGTGCTCCTTTCTTGAATCCATGTTGCCTCACTGATTTGTATACTCAGAGTGAATAGTTATTGGTACAATATAGCAAACCTTCTCTCTGTTGAGAGACACATATATTTATTATTCTATGTTAGACAGTCAGCAACCATAAGAACTAAGTTTAATAATCACATTTACAGACAAAGAAACAGTTGATTGCAACTGACTTAGCCCAGACTGCATAGCTGGCATTCAACCCAGTTTTTATAACTTGTATTTGAAGGCCTGTTTCCATCAATTACCTCATTTAATGACTGTGCCAGGTTTGGGAATGTCTGTCTCAATAAATACTTTCTGCCTGAATGGATGGATGTTGATCCTAGTATTTTCTGGAGAACCTAAGCAGGAGGCATTGGGGAAACTAAGACTGGGAAGTTAGGCAGCTTATTGGGGCACTCAGGGAGGTAGGTGAGAGCCCAAGTCTCTGTGGTATCTGCTAGGGGAGGGGACATTGACCAGCTGCATGTGAGGCAAGCTGCCAACAAGAAAGGATCCTTAGCAGACTGGTTTTTCAAAAATGCAGCTCTGAAGTACTGTGAAATATTTAGTGATGAAGTTTTGCAATATCTGCAAATCACTTTTTAATGGGTCAGAAAAAGGGAGCAAGAAGATTCACAATGTGTGGACCTAGGTGAAAATGTATAGGGTTCATTGTGTTATTCTTTTAAATTTTATTAAATGTGAAGCTTTCCAAAAAAGAAATAAATTTTAAAAAATCTGGAGTAGAAAGAAAGGAAGGAGGAGGAATCCACTAGGGAGGGGAGGGAAGGAGAAAGGACTTCCTCCTGCTTTTGCCCTCTGGTTTGTGCTGACAGCTGTGAAGTCCCTGCGCCGTTTTCTGTTATAGAATGATCTAGTCATCAAAATAACTATAATATTGTATCTAAGTAGATGATAGTTTTGGAAAAGAGTCCGTGTGCTGGCACCTACTGGTTTGTTTTTAAATGTATTGATAATCACTAGAATTAGTTAACCTCTTATTTTAGAGAGCCAACAAATTTTACTCAAATAGCAGTTGTAGTTCCAATCTTTCAATGGAAAATTGCTGTATTTAACAAAACGATTGAATGTCTTTTCTCTAAAAATAGGGGGGAAGGAAAATTAGTGCTTTAAATGAGTTGGTTGGTTTAGCAAATATGAATTCATTTTAGATGGAATACAAAGTGGCCAGTATTCTTTACTGCTATTGGAAAAATAATTTTAATGGATTACTGATAGTTTTATTTTCTCCTTATTTTCATTTAACTAAAAGTTTTATATATAACACAATAGAATTGCAAATTTATAAGCTAACTCAGCAGTCAGTGAAATATACTTAATTTAAAATTGACATTTTGGAACTTTTTACTTATATTTTATATTTTAAAATAGATGATTAAGGCCCTCCCTGGTGGCACAAGGGGTTAAAGTGCAGCACTACAGCAGTCACTGTAGCATGATTTCCATCCCTGGCCAGGGGCGTGACTCACATGGCACAGCAGACCTCTCCTGTCTCACCTGTTGCTCCCTTCAGCAGTGAATTTTAGGAGATATCTGTTTTGCTCCCCACTCTGTCACTGGTGAAACCTCTCACCCCCAATCCCAACTCTAGCCTACACCCCATCTCTCTCTATTTATGCATAAATAAGTAAAAATAAATCTTCAAATAAATTAATAAAGTAATTAAATAATAGAAGCTGGAAGGAAGTAAAAAGAGTCAAAGCCTTGTTACCTTAAACAACTAGCATCTAACTTTTTTTTGCAAAATTTTGGTACACAGTGATTATTTTATCTTTTCTTGTTCATATATGTATATTAAGTATACACTTTTTGAATTCTGCTTTTTCTAATAAACACTATCTCATAAGCATTTTCCAATATTATTATATAAAAAATCATGTTAAAGTGGGAGTTAGTGAAAACACTGCCACCCTCCTAATTTAGAGAGAATACATAAAAAAGATATTTGGGGGGAGAATATGTAATCATCTCTAGGTGGAGATATGGGAAAATTGGGTGGGTAGAAGATAAGATATTCCAACTGAATATATATCCTTGTGTGTGTGAACACACACACACAAATTTGACTTATACACATATAGTACTAGTTAGAAACTTAAAATTATATAAATAACTTAAAATTTGGAATATTACTATATATTAAGCAGAGAAATCTTTCATTAATGTACTCTCATAATTCCCCAATTAAGGAATCTAGACTTCTGCTTAATATTTTTATTTTTTCATACATCAGTTTGTTTTTAAATAACTGTGTATATATGAATAATCATTTGATCTGATTTGGTCATTTACTGAAATAATTGTGCTGTTTTACCATCCATAGGTTATTTTTTAATTTTTATATTGTTGATATTTTAAACTTACATTTGATAAGGAAATTCTAAGCAATTCCCTTGTTTTTCCTTACTTAAGAACCATTTCTTTCTTCCATAAGATAAATCTCATTAAAATATCAATTTGCATGGATATATATTCTATTCTTTCCTGAGAATTAAAAGTATCCTGACTTCTGTTCCATATATTACCTGGAAGTTATAATGCCTTTTCTAGGTCAACTAGGAAGTAATAAGAACATTTCAGCACAGATCATGTGGAATTACTGCTGACAAGATGTGCACATGACAGATGCTTCCTGGGATCTTCATATAAACATTGTTGAAACATTTATGTGGGTTTGGTCTATAGAATTGTCAGCTGGGTGCAGGATTGAATGTTTTGGTGAACTTCAGCCAGGTCTGTCCACATGCTTCAGAGCACAACACAAGTCACTGTTTTCCCTGAGCTTACAGAGGGGGACACCCACACTTCCCAGCCTACCTTTGATGTTCTGCAGTTTGCGACCCTTTCCACCTTCCCATCCACTAGTGCTGGTGTGACTAGCCTTCTCGCTTGCTAAGACAAAGACCTCAACTTACCCCGCAGCAGCCACAACACTGGCAGTCTCCGCACAAAGTCCCCAGAAGACCATTGACCACCTGGATGGCACAGAGAAACATTTGCAGGCCTCCGATGATCAGCAGGATGGAGAAGAGGGTCAGGTTCCAGGGAACGATGTCTTCAGGCTTCTGGCATTTATTCCACAAGCTTGTATCAATGAGGTAATCCCTGTGGGACGTGGGGTGAAAGACTAATTTGTAAAAGGTATACAATGCCCTAGACTAGAAAGCCAAAATTATGGTTGTTCTTTTGCAATACTTCTAAAACATAAGCTCCCTAAGAAAAATAACCCAGAACAATTATTTTAAAAGCACTTAATTCTTTTATTGAGAATATGTTATTTAGCACACTGTATTTGAAACATTTTACATATTTTCACTCATTTATTCCTCATAGAAACATTATGTTCTTTTCACCCCTTTTACAAATAAGGACACTGAGGTACACAGATGCTAAGGTCACGCAGATATGAAGAGATAAGAGTGGTTTTTATGAACAGACCAAGAGGCCAACTATTTACCATCCAGTATGGTGCCAGAAAAGTGAAGACACCACAGGAACAGAATCTCACAGTGTCCACCACTTTTTTTCTACCTAATGGCAGGAAGGACAGTTTGGACTTTGGACAAATTATCTGTCCAGTGTAGTATAATCAAAGACAAGTAAATATTGTATCATAGAGAGAGCTTGAATTTCTTTTTTTTAAAGATTTATTTATTTATGTATATAAAACTGGGGTACAGGCCAGAAGTATAGGGACAGTGAAAGGATTCACCAGAGACAAAATGGGGAGCAGAACAGGCAGACTGAAAAGTGCACAGCTGAGGGGAGCAGCAGGCGAGACAGGAGAGGTTTGTGTGCCATCACCTCTGGGACCCAACTCACACTGAAGCAGCTTTGGCTAGCTTGCCCTGCTGCTTCCTTACACATTGTGCCACCAGGGAGGGCCAAGAGAGCTTGAATTTTTAAAGGCCTAATTCTAGCCAAATTGTGAATTTGACTCGCCTATATTTTCATTAATATATAGGGATTCCACATGTAAAATATGTAACTAATTTTTTTTTTAAAGATTTATTTTTTTATTCAGACAGAATTGGGGTACAGGCCAGAGATGTGGAGGGTGATAGGATTCACCAAAGACAGAGTGGGGAGCAGAACAGGCAGATCGGCGAAGTACACTGCTGAGGGGAGCAGCAGGTGGGTCAGGAGAGGTCTGCCACGCCATGTGGTCACCTCCGGGGCAGGCGAGAATCGAACTCATGCGGAAGTGGCTTTAGATTCTCGATGCTGTGCTTTAACCCGCTGCGCCACCAGGGAGGGCCAATTTTCTTTTTTTTTTAAAGATTGATTTATTATATAGAACTAAGGCACAGATAGGAGGTGCAAGGGCAGTGAGAGGATTCACTAGAGACAGAGTGGGGAGCAGAACAAGCAGATTGATGAAGTACATTGCTGAGGGGAGCAGCAAGCTAGACAGGAGAGGATCTAACTCTTACTGAAGCAGCTATGGCTTCACAGTGCTGTGCCTTAACCCATTATGTCACCAGGGAGGACCCTGTAACTAATTTTCTTTTGGGGGAAGAAATAATTTATTTCCTTAATACCTATTTTACAAAAACTGTGAAATAGGAGCAACAATAATATATTGATAAAATATACACATTGACTGTTGAACAACATGAAGTTGGACTTAGCCATTAAATAAGGCTTTCATTTCACAAATTCAACAAAGGATGCTTTTTTGAATCAGTTAGCATTTTTTCCCTGCATTTTTCCATGTAGTTCGTTCTACTTTTGTAATTTTTAAATTTGATGATTATAGGAGGTCATAAAGATGCAATATTTTCTAGCGACACGTTACAGACAAAAGATGTGAAAGTGAAAGAATTGGCAAGCCTGAGTTCTTTTCCTCATCTGAAAAGTTAATACAGTGATGGGCTGACAGCACCTCTAGGTGGTAAGATTGAAGAAATGCACATGGGGAAACTTGGAAGAGAGGACTGTGTTTGGATGCTGGAAAATCTTAGCGCTACAGCTACAGCTTCACCGCTCACAAAGGACCATCGGTAATTCTAAGGCACTCCTCTCCCCCAAAACCCTCAAGGGCTGAGACGCAGAGATTCTGGTGAAAATCACTGCATCAGGGCCCTCCCTGGTGGCGCAGCGGGTTAAAGCACTGCACTAAGAAGCTTAAGCCAATTCCGCATGAGTTCTAACCCCACCTGCCCAGGAGGAGATCCACATGGCGAGGCAGACCTCTCCTGACCTCCCGCTGCTCCCCTCAGCAGTGTACTTTGTCGATATGCCTGTTCTGCTCCCCACTCTGTTCTTGGTGAATCCTCTCACCTTCCGCATCTCTGGCCTATACCCCAGTTCTGTATGAATAAATAAATAAATCTTTAAAAAAAAAATCACTGCATCAAATTTTCCAAACCAGATGAGAGGAAGCCCTAATTTTTCACCGATTCTGTAACCAATCACATTTCCACATTCCATGAAGCAAAATGAACTAAGGCCATCTAAACTCATCTAAACTGGAGTTTTACAGCATTTCATTATTGTGAAGGGCTTTTCCACTCAAACTGCAGCAGTTTCATCAACATTAGAATAAAAAGCCATGAATGTTATGAAATTCATTTTTGCTGTCAACAAAGGCAGCTAAAAACGGAATAGGGGAAATCACAAAGCTTTGTGGGCACACTGTCTTTTCCTGCGACACCATGTCCAGGATGAACTCCATGATGCTCCTCTAGTTTCAGTTCCTTGTCTTCCTACTCTATGCAGACACCATCTGCCCATTGCCTCCCTTCTCTTCCGGACTGTACACCCACATGGCAGAGACAGTGTCCCGATTTCTGTGCCAACTTCCAGCTCAGAGTATTGAGTAAATACCAGCATCTTATGTGCAGGGCCCTGCCATGTGCCAGAAACAACACAGGGTTAGCCTTTTGCATCATCATTGCCAGCCTTACAGGGGATGGGAATTGACTTGAACAGTAGCTGGCACAGTGTGTTCCAAGAAACGGTCCCTGAGTGAATGAACACACACATACCCATACCCATGCCCACACACAGATTACGAAATTAAAGTTAAGAAATGGAAGTGCTGGCCCTCCCTGGTGGCGCAGCGGGTTAAAACACAGCACTAAGAAGCTAAAGCCACTTCCTCATGAGTTCGATCCCTGCCAGCCCCGGAGGTGATCCTCATGGCGGGCCGGTCAGACCTCTCATGACCCGCCCGTTGCTCCCCTCAGCAATGTACTTCGTTGATCTGCTTGTTCTGCTCCCTGCTCTGT